TGAGTTGGCAAAAAGGCCGGAGAAATCCCAGAAAGCCGTTGGCACACTGAGGACGCAAGGCCAACTCAGATCTTGCACCTTCGGGTCGAAAACCTCCCAAAGACATGACCAGATCTTGAAAGCGGCAATGGGCCATAGAACCTTTCACAGGCTTGAGAGATCCTTTGGGACGTCCCTTCTTTTGCTGGGGCTTTTGCAGGGCAGAACTGCACATCGCAGGGCTCGTCGGCACCCACCAAGGCCTGGCTCCAATTGATGTGATATGACGTTTGTCCCACTCATAGGGCTTCATCCATCCCAGTTGGTTCGTCCCTCTGCAGTATGTAGCATGTCAAAGCTCCTTACGTCATGGTCAAAACCCCCTATGTTTGTCTACAACTCGTAAGGGTTGGATGACCATCCTTTGCGTCCTGGTGAGTACCTGATTCCTTGTCGAGGCACAATTGCATAAACTGCCTCGGTGGTTGATCATCCCTTCCAACCCCACGCAAGCAGGTCTTTTGACCATGGCACATGTGGCTTTGACGATTCTTGGAGGGTACCCTGTTCTGGGTGCACTCCTGCAAACTGGCATGGAAACCAAAAAACACATCGTTTTGAGAGGGGCCTCCTTGTTGCTTTTTATGCACAGTTTTTCCGGGCAGCATGGTCATCAAAGGAGAACCGCGAATAAAGCGCATGAAATCGTTGGCTTCCCTCGTCTTCCCTTGCAAACCTCTGACCAAAAGGGCACCCTGTTTCAGGAGACATTCATATTTACATGTCAACAATCATTCAAAGGCACCGACCTTGCTGGAAACTGACAAGAGCGGCTAGATATGCTTGGGCTCGATGCTTCCAATGCTCAGAGGGCAACAAATGGGTACGTCTCAAAATCAGGCGACAACAAAAGCCGTAGGCTTCCTGTAAAGGTTCTCATGGTGCCCCTCAAAGTCGGTACCCTCAGAAAGTACACACCAAAAGCTAAGTTCTACTGTACTGTTCCAAACGAGTGACGCGCAGGTTGATCCAGCCATGCGCCATGCGTCGGCAAATCCCGAATGCGAAAAATACATGCACCGCATTCCATTGGGAACCAACACAAACTCTCAGGTCCAACGATATGGATGAATGTCAGCCTGTCTGCCCAAAGGCGGTGCTGCGCAATTGCCCGGATCAAAGCTGCGATAATCGAAAGGTTGGCAGGAGAGTCTCTTGAAACTTAGGTCATCAGTCCGAAGAGTCGAAGAGTCTTTTCGCCTGTGAGATATTCCGTCACTCGACAAAAAGCGTCGTAGAAGAAAGCTCCCCAAACGCCCGCCAAAACTGTGATACAAGGAAAACCATGAGAACGACTCCAACCCAAACAATTGCAAATCTCATTAAACACTAGAGTCGCGACATAAAAGGAAGAAACATATTGCCTGGATCAGAGAATATACTAAGACTGATGCCATCTTGTCACAAGCACACAGCGATCAGCCAGCCTCCAGTGTCATTGGCAACTGCACCGCCATAGCTTTGGGCGTGGGCACGCTTCTGCCAACAAGTACATGTGCGGTGGCTGCAAGGGTAAGACTAGCATGGTCGACGAGGAAGATGAGGATGATGATGATGATGATGATGATGATGATGGCTATCATCTTTGCTTGTTGACCCGCGGCATGCTCACTTCACTTAACCATCCGTCGATGTTCATGAGTGATGTGTGGCCTTCTGCCACAGCGGGGCCAAAACGGCAGTGGCCATGGGGAAGCAGACATGGGTGGGGAACAGCAACATGGAAAGTATGATAACCTGATGTGATCGTTGCAGTGTTCTTTTGTTCTTTGTCGGTTTTCAGTTTTGATTATTTGGCCATGTTTAGAGCAGCAATCGAGTGACGTTGCAAAACGGTTGGGATGCCGCCACTGGACAAGTTGGGCACCTGCGCGCGGTCGGGGTCCTCTGTGCAAAGCTCAGAAAAATCTGCGAGCAAGTAGACTCTTTTCAGGGGAGATCCTGAGTCGGTCGCCCGAAAGCACCCCGATTCAACCGGCATGCCCGATTCCAAATGCGGCGAGTTCTTGGACATCTTTGGAGGAAGCCATGGCTGCAGGAACGAACCTTCTGCAGATCATCAAAAGACCGCTGGCCCGCGTCCGGTGAAACTCGACCCTAAAGTTTTGGCTTCCGCAGTTTGGCTTTGGGCGCTGGGGCCGGGCTGCGATATGGCCACCATTCAGCAACCTGCAAGCAATGCATCGTGAAGCAGGTTGTGACATTTGCCCCGTAGATCGCAAAACCGCATGCCTTGCCCCCTATGCAAGGAGCCTTCACCATCATGAATTTCTGAGTGAGGTTGGGATTTATGGGATTAAACTTGTCTATATGTGTGTGCGTGGAGGTCTCTCGAGTTCCTTGCAAATTATCTTGTTCAAGGGCTACCGGAAAAGCAACCCAAGTCCGGCTTCTTCTCGGAATCGCCCAATACGCAACTAACACTCTCATAGTGATGCACGCACAAACTGACAAAAGTACCTTCTTTCTGCGTTCGCACTCAATCTCAAAGCTTCCGACAAGCCAATTATTGAAGGTAGAACAACACATGTTGCCTACCCAACAGTATGATGTATACACGGTTCCGGAGGAGACTCCAGAACTATGTGCGTTCGACTAGGTTCCCTTGTGCGGGCTTCTGGCTGGCCAGTCAGAGGTACATCCTTTGCATATATATGTTATCAATAAAGCTGATGTAGGCTCCACGCTGCTCAACATCTGCTACAAGCACGCGCTGCAGCCTTGTAAGACCACTCCCTTTTCGTGGTATATTGGCAAATTGAGTCTATGCCGGCGAGCCTTTTGCTGCAAAATGCTCTGCGAGGCAAAGAAATTCCAACATCCCCTCAATTGCCTGAACCGACAGTGATCATGAGATGAATGACTATCCAAGATTATCCAAGCAATTCGCCCGTTCCTGTTTTCGAAGGATTCTTGGTTTTTGTGTTGACCGCATGCCAACACGACCTGTCTCTTCGTACAGCTTTGGACAAACACCGCAAGGTGTCCACCTTGAAGCCCCCGAACACACAGCAACTGTCCTTGACATGTTGCGACCTGACCCCAGTTCAAAGAGAAACCCAAAGGAAACCAATAGAACCGAGCCACAAGGCTTTCCAAAGGATTCCCCGACAGACCCAAACTCCCACCCCCGCATTACACACCTGCTTCGCAGAGACCAGCGGCTCCATCTCATCTCTCCTGGTAGGGCAGCGCCACGCCTGCGTTGGTCGTCTGGGAAAATGGGCACGCCCGTTGCAGTGGCTCAGCGGGTAGGCTGTTTTATCTGGAGAATCCTGGAGACCTTGACAAAGTTTACATGGGGATATGTTATGCACCTCTCAGGGGGTTCCCAACTCTGGACCTGCGAAGCCAACTGCGGGAAGCTTCTGGCAAAAAGATCCAGAAGCACGCCTGGCGGTTGAAAAGAGGCCTGGGCCAACCTCCAAGATGTTCAAGGAACTCCGCTTTAGCAGCCCTCACCTTGATTTCCCTTACGGGCCCAGGATCCCCACCCCCAGTTGGGACCAATGCGATTCACACACAAAGGGAACAAAGGGAAGGGTCCTCCGTTGCATTGGGGGAGGGGGGGATTAATTGCGCCGCTCCCCTTCCTGTACTTGCTTGGGGGGTGGGGATGGCCCCAGGTTGCTTCAATCCATTCTGCCCAAGGGCCCATGAGTACCACAAGCCTCTGTCAATGTGGCCGTGCGGCTGCATATCGCTGGATGTGACTGAAACTTGGCAAAGCTCGACCACAATTTTATAAGGGGAGCAATTTGCGATCCTTGCAGTCCTGTGGGCCAAACTCGGCCGTCACCAGTTCGCCTCTTGTCCCTTGGGACCAAACGAGTCTTGTCCACCGGAAGGATTGGAGTCAATTGACATTCAGCCCCCCCAGGCACGCACCAAAACACCAACAGCGCCCCCCGTCCCCTTCGCCTGAGAACGCCACTCCTCGGGTCGGCAAAAAACATTTGGCGCGCAAGAAGCGCAGACTGCTGCGCTGCTCACTTACAATGGTCCCACCCCCTTTCTGCCCTCTTGGATCTTGCAAAACAGCTGGCGGCAGTTCCCAGCTTGCAACAAACCCTGTTGGAGAAATCCTGACAGCATCTTGGCAGGCTGACCTGCCATGAGTCTCAGAGTCCAAAAACAAGAGGGCAACAAACACGCCATATCCCATCCCAAAAGGCTCTGAACCCCACTTGGATTTACAGCCCTGAATATTTGAAGGTTGAAGGTTCATGGCCCTCGTAAGGACTGGGCACAGCTGCGCGAGTGGGTGTCCTCGTGTGTCCTTGAGTCGCGGCTGACTCTACTTGAAACATCGTCTGGGCGTGTGCTATGGCAACAACGGCAGATGTAGATGGTTTGGGCTCCGCCCACTAGTCGAGATTGACACATAAAAAATGTCGACTCATTGTAGACAAACCACCACTCAAGTTTTGCTTTTCTCAACAGGGGCGAGTTGAAAAGGGCAGTCCAAGAGATGGTAAACTTCGCTGAAAAGGAATGATTGTCATTGAAGTAAGTTGAGTGATCAGCTCTATCAACCCCGGAAACCACATTGACAGCGATACCTACCAACCCTGAGAAGCCAGGCTGACCTTAGCGCAATAGACTATATCATATCGGTCGTCGTGGCCTGTATTTTTGACTGGGATAGATCCCACATTTTGAATGTTGGAGGAAAGGCCCAAAGCACGCGGTTCCCAACATTTCGCAAATTCTTGGTGACAGTCTCCATTCCAATGTGGAAGCCTAGCCTCCTTCCTACAACCATAGCCTCCACGGGACCCGGAAGACCGATTTCCTCACAAACAAGCACTTGACTCCTTCCCTCTGACCCGCGCCGCGGCTCACGCTGAGCTCTTGGCGACACACGGGGCCGGTCCAAGGGCGTCTTCCCTTTCGTCACCATGGTTTGGCCATCTCGGCGCGGCTCAGAAAGGTGTGCTCCCCAAGGGACATGGAGCCCAAAAGAGGCCAACGGGAGATCCCTCCAAAGACCCATGGAAGGTTCAGGCTCCAAATTCATCTGCAGGAGAGTACACGGTGCTCAAAGTGTCCTTTACATGGGATGCCCATTGTAGGAAACCACCAAAATGAGTATGACCTCCGCACCAAACCGCAAAACTGCCTATGGCCATTTAGCCATCAACACTCACATGCCATTCATAACTAGAACGGGGGTGTCCTAGAAAACAAAACGCCTTTTTGGATGGTTTTTCGAGTAACATGAAATCGGTCGAATCCCTGGGCGTGTGCTCTCCGGCGCGCTGGGCAGTCGGCTGGGTCGAAAGCAAAGGACGGTCTTCGCCTGATCGCTTTGGGCCTATCTGTTGTCCAACGGCCCAAAGGACCATGGGATAGGTCAGGTCACAAAGTGGCCACTGGAAAAGGACCAACATTGGAGACCGATAGGTCAAAAGGTTGAGTTTGGGCAAATCCGGGTTCCAATTACTGACCAACACACCCCATCCATCCGGATTGACCGGCGCAAGGTTTGGCAGGAACCCTGCTTGATTAATATCAGCTCTCTCCACCCCTGAGCAGCACAAAGCTGTTAAACAAAAGAACAACAGCACCATGCAGAATTGCCAAAGCTGCCCAATAGAATACATTGTCCAATGGAGATTGTTCATGAAATGCGCAGTGTGGTCTGAAATAAGTGCCGTTTAGTCGATCCGGCAAACAAAACAAAAACACAAAGACCCGCGCAGTCTAGGTAATACTCGACCACTATAGTTTCATCTTGCGGTGTACTTTGCTGGCAGCCCTGGGCTGGCGGGGATGCTCAGGGTAGCGAGGGGCTTCGCTGGCATGCGACAGTCAGACTCAGCTGGCTCAATGGTTTGGCTACGAGGGCTGGAGCAGGATATCTTGGAGGTGCATGGAGTTGTGTGAAGAGGGCGCAGGTTGGCAGGTGGGTGTAGCGGCGATATGGCAGGCATTGACCATTGGCGGGGAGTATCAGCGCAAACCAAGTGCGGATGCCAACTTGAAGTCATCCCTGCCGGGTTTAAAAACAATCTGGCTTCAACCTGCTCCGAAAGGAGGGCGGGCGTTGGTTTAGCATTTGGTCAGCCAAGTTTGGCTCACTACCAGTTTTGTCGTCGCAGGCTGGGCCGTCGGCCAGCTGGATCACATAGTGTATGTGTTTGTTTAATGTGTGTGCGTGCGTGTGCATTGATATGTCCAGTGTGCATACATGTATGTGCATACATGTATGTATGTGGGTATGTGTGTACGTGTGCGTGTGTACGTGCCTATCATATATACATATATATATATATACATATATATAAATATATGTATGTATATATATATATATATGCGCACATCTCTGTATATCTCTAAATAAATATACATATAATTATATATATATATATATGTGCACGCGCGCACGCAGGTAGGTAAGTAGGTGGGTATGCAGATATGTAGGCATGTAAGTATTGCGTGCTGTATGGATGTATGGATGTACGGATGTATGGATGTATGAATATATGGACGGATGTACGGATGTATGGGTGTATGAACGCATGGATGGCAAGTGTGTATGTAAAAAAAAACATGTTGGACCATATTCAAATGCATGTGTATGTATGTATATATATATATATGGTACAGCGTTGCCAGCCCCCCCCCCCAATGGTCATGGGTCAAACAAGTACCCCCCCCCCCCCCCCCCTGTGGTTATGGTCCTGTGGTTAGGTTGTGGTGGTTTAGGGTTGGTTTAGGGTTGGTTTAGGGTTGGTGTAGGGTTGGTTTAGAATTGGTTTAGGGTGTATTTGGGGTGTATTTATGGTTAGATTAGGGTTAGTCTAGGGTGGTTTATGTTGATTTAGGATTGGTTTAGGGTTTATGGTTTAGGATTGGTTTAGGACCCCGACACCCCGGCACCCCCACCCCCAGGACAAGCCAACCCGCAACCAAACATCAACCAACCCTAAACTAACCCTAAACAAACCCTAAATACACCCTAAACCAAACCCTAAACCATAAACCTCTAAACCTAAACCAACCCTACATCAACATAAACTAACCCTAAACCAACCCTAAACTAACCCTAAATACACCCGAAACCAAACCCTAAACAATAAACTCTAAACAATAAACTCTAAACCTAATTGATCCGGGGGCTCGGGTGTCGGGCCGGGGAAGGGGGTCTTGGGCCCATACCATCTGGGGGGGGGGGGGGGTAGCAACACGGAACACGGTACCATACATACATATTATATGCATAGGTATGTTTTGTTCAGGGAGGCCTGCCTGAGGTCGTCTGAAAAGGGAACCACATCACATTAAGGAACCTCGAACAATCGAATTTGGACCACAACCTGCTACGGGCCATGGTGGTGGCTTCCTTAGGAGCTATCCAACATCCGGTTCATGTCCACCCTATAAGCGGACTGTTCACCATGCGCGCAGACAACCAGCTGAAAAGTCGACAAGCCTCTATTGACGCCATGCCCGTGCCAGCCAGCATCGACGGAGCCTCAAGTCAGCCGACTCAGGCGTGCCATGGTCAAGATCCGCCTATCGGAGCCCCGTGGCAGGGGGAAGACACTCAAAGTCTGCACAAACGGGCCCATAGCCTCAATAGCTTTCCGAGTGGAGCCAACGAAAATGGACTTGTTTCTTGCCCAGCATAATCTGACGAAAGTGAACCTGCCTTCAGTGTCCTTTGGCTTTTCAAGGGATAGACGCGCCGCAAAGCTTTGTTCGAGGCCTCAACTTTTGGACATGCAAAACAGAAACCATGACCTCACCCCTGCACCCCAAACCCCCACGTGACGGAACAAAACAGTTAACTTACTGGTTCTCAATGCGGGAATGAACCATCCCCATCCACCATCCTTGTTTAGGAGCCATAGGTCGAGACACCAATTGATTCTTAAGATTCAAGAACCAGCAAGTTGCCCATTTAAATCCCCCCCGCCCTTGTTCCCATGGCCCAGGCCCAGGGCTTCTGCGGCTCCCGCCAAGGTGGGATCCTGGCGATGTGCTCAAAGCACATGTGGAGTTCACACGAGACTAGTCTGACATACCTTCGAACAATACGTGGTGGCAAAGGCATCTGGACCACGCAAAGCAATATGCGGGAGATCAAGCAAGATGGGTTGAACCTCCGATTTCCCTTTTGACGAGAGAACACCACTCTCGTCAAATAGGCATCGGTTTGGCATCTCAGCGTCAATGCTACTTCAAGGGGGAAAACAAAGTCCCTTTGCCCGCATCATGCACACCCTGGCCCAACCCCTTTTAATATTCAATATCGGAGGTACTGTGGAACCTGGACGAATCCACCTGATGGACTAACAACCGGGGGGGTGTTTCCCCAGAACGTGACTCCCGGATCCTCTAAATGGCCCCCATCATGAAGGGGAGCAACATTTTAAATTTTAGCAGTTAAGTGGGGATTTCCACTAAACCACCAGAAGCAAAAATGTAAAAAAAAATCAAAAACAACCATGAAATGGTGTCTTGTTTGTGAGGTCATCCTTTTCAAATTGGGGTTGTTTTGGTTTCAATCGGACAACCAATGCCATTTTGGGGCTCCCCCTGGTTCTGACACAACGTGATGGCATGTTGGGCTCCGTGCAAATCTGCAGGCGAATCGGCACGGGTGCTTCCCCGAAAAGTGAAGAACCCCCTCAAATATCCCCCGCAATTAACTCAAGTGAATTAGGTAAGCGTTTGTTTTTGGAGGGCGCCCTTGTGGCCTTGAGGGGAAAGCAACAAAAAACAAGTTGGGGTCGCTCAAAAAGGACACGCGCCCACCCGCAGGCAGCCGTCAGATCAAGCCCTCCTCTTGGAGGGGCCGCTCTTGGGGGACTCCCGGCCCTCCAGGACCTGCACCTCACTCGAAGGGCAAATGGGGCAGACGGGTGTGTCATGTTTTTGATAAAATATGTTTTTTTGGGGGGGCAAACCCTGTTGGAGCCAAGCACTGTTGGTCAAAGGAACCACTGTGAAATCATTCTAAAAAAGGCAACAGGGAAAGAGGAGGCCAAAGACAACCAACCATGTGTTGTTTGCCAACTTCGAAAAGCCACATAGTGCTGCGTCTCTGTGCGATTTGGTACAAATATGCAACATCAAAGAGGGGTGCCCCAAATTCTTCCACTGTTGCCAACTGTCGGGCCTCCAGTGGGTCCTCGGGGTGAGGTGATCAATTCAGGCCATGAACCTTATGCAACTGTGTCTCGGGTGGCAGCTCGAGTGGAGAACCTCTTCTTTTTGGCTGCAGTCGTCAAGTGTGTTACAAGCAGCCCATCAGGTGAGTTCCCCCTGTCCCAAAACGAGAATTGGCTTTCTTCCCGGGTCTGCGCACTTCCATGTGTGCGCGCGCGTGTGTGCGCGTGCGCGTGTGTGTGTGAAGTGTGAGTGTGAGTGTGAGTGTGAGTGTGAGTGTGAGTGTGAGTGTGAGTGTGAGTGTGAGTGTGAGTGTGAGTGTGAGTGTGAGTGTGAGTGTGAGTGTGAGTGTGAGTGTGAGTGTGAGTGTGAGTGTGGTGTGTGTGTGGGTGGGTGTGTGTGTGTGTGTGTGTCTGTGTGTGTGTCTGTGTGTGTGTGTGTCTGTGTGTGTGTGTGTGTGTGTCTGTGTGTGTGTGTCTGTGTGTGTGTGTGTCTGTGTCTGTGTCTGTGTCTGTGTCTGTGTCTGTGTCTGTGTCTGTGTCTGTGTCTGTGTCTGTGTCTGTGTCTGTGTCTGTGTCTGTGTCTGTGTCTGTGTCTGTGTCTGTGTCTGTGTCTGTGTCTGTGTCTGTGTCTGTGTCTGTGTCTGTGTCTGTGTCTGTGTCTGTGTCTGTGTCTGTGTCTGTGTCTGTGTCTGTGTCTGTGTCTGTGTCTGTGTCTGTGTCTGTGTCTGTGTCTGTGTCTGTGTCTGTGTCTGTGTCTGTGTCTGTGTGCGCGTGTGCGCGTGTGCGCGTGTGCGTGTGTGCGTGTGTGCGTGCGTGTGTGCGTGCGTGCGTGTGTGCGTGTGTGTGCGTGTGTGCGTGTGCGTGTGCGTGTGCGCGTGCGTGCGTGCGCGTGTGTGTGTGTGGTGTATGGCGTGTGTGTGTGGGTGTGTGGGTGTGTGTGTGTGCGTGTGTGTTTGTGTGCGTGTGTGTGTCTCTGTGTCTGTGTTTGTGTATTTGTATGTTTGTGTGTGTTGGTGTGTGTGTGTTGTGTGTTTGTGTGTGTGTGTGTTTGTGTGTGTGTGTTTGTGTGTTGTTGTGTTGGTGTGTTTGTGTGTTGGTGTGTGTGTGTGTGTGTTGTGTTGTGTGTTGTGTGTGTGTGTTTTGTGTTTTGTGTGTTGTGTTGTGTGTTGTGTGTTGTGTGTTGTGTGTTGTGTGTTGTGTTGTGTGTGTTGTGTGTTGTGTGTTGTGTGTCGTGTGGTGTGTGGTGTGTGGTGTGTGGTGTGTGGTGTGTGTGTGTGTGCGCGTGTGCGTGTGTGCGTGAGAGCGTGTGTAGGCTTAATCCCCAAATTATCTATCGAAATCAGCTACTGGGTATGAGATAGGCAAAGTTTAACTGTAAGTCTGCATATAAGGGCGAACCACCTGCACTGCATTGAGCGTAGGGAGGTCCCGGTGACAAACGTTGCAGTTTTGACCCTTCGGGACATATAAGGGGCTGTCCAAAAAAAGCGCTCTATAGGGATGATTCGAAACACGGTTGCTCCAAAACTGGCACAAGAAAGTTAGTCCCAAGAAAAGCTGTCAATTTTCTACCAACAAGGGGGGTTGGTCATCTTTCACAGGCCTGGAGTAGACCTATTTATTTCCAATCCAACAGGGAGGTCAAATGACATCTGGCCGGTTCGGGCCCAGTGCTTCCCCAGGTTTGCCCTTCTTACAACTGCCTTTTTCTAAAGTCCAGTCCATCCAGGGGCCAGCGCGCACATGGGTCGGTGGTACAGGCCGGTGCTGATGCCTAGCCGCGAAGCGCAGGTGTCTGGATGAAAAGTCGGGATCTCTGGGTTCAAACTGGAGGGATCCCTGATCCTACTCCGGACTACGGACACCCCTACAACACGAGGACAGCTCGTACTATCTTGCAGGGAGATGAATGAAGGACTGATTTGGAACAATAAGCCAGACAAAGAATGCCTGCTTGACGAGCAGGGAACCCACACCCTGCATTTTGTAGAGAGAACATGGCTCCTTTGTAGTGGCACTGGACAGTGGCACTTGACATTTTGCAGTGGCTCCTTTAATCGAGTGGTTAACTTGACAGTACGCCACAACCGAATTCCCTGGACCTAGCCATCATTTGATTCAGGGATCTTTCGCATCGGATTTCGTGCCAAACTCTGGGAAAACCGGTGGTTCTCCAGAGAATCACCCAGAAACCGTAGAAACCACCCGTGAATCACCAGTCTGAAGAACCGTAATCCAAAAAAAAAGGTCTCCGCCAAAGGGCTCCTCTACGAATCGACACATGCAGTTTGGGACGCTCAATTGGAATCCGAAATGTGTCTGTCGAACCCGCAGTGTGACAGGAAGAAAAGATTAAACCTTCCTACCATCCAGACTCGAAGGCTGAAATGCGAGTGACCGTTTTCAAAAAGCAAACTGGCACAAAACCACAAGACTCTTGCAAAAAATAATATGTATATATATATACTTTATATTTGCTTCAAGGAGGCTTCGTGGATTCTGGCCGTGAGAACTGCAACACATGTCGCCTGTGCCTCGCTTGACTGTTCACCTGCGGGCGCGCGGGTCAGCGAGCCTGACGGCGCGGAGGAGAACGGAATGCTGTTGGACTTGGCGGATCTGGCCTCAAGCAGCAAGACAGGTGGACGCTCCAATACGGCGCAGGGGTAAAACAATTGGCCCCTGATCAAGGGAAGCGCGAAGGAAAACCAACCAATTTCTATGCTTGATCATCTTTTAGAGGGGTTCGGAAGCAACTCTCGACCGTGCAAGTCCTCCAGTTGCTTTCAACAATACTCTGTCCGCCAACATGAAACCCACCAGCGCACCAGAGGGTACAAAAATGGTCCACTCCCACGTCAGGTTCCACTTAAACGGTGACGCCGCTTGCCTGCTGTTTGCTAGCCACCACAAAGTTCCACTCCTGACCGCGATGCTGCGAAGTCGCCATTTCACAGGTCATCACCCTTGGTTCTCCTGAGAGCCCCAAAAATGTGGTGACCCGGGGCGAATGCCTGGTGCGGTTTGTGCTTTGGCATGTCGATGTTTTTTGTGGGCGAAAACAAAGGCCGATGCATGCACGGCTGTCGATGCATTCCAAACATTCCATTCATGCATGCCTACCCTCCGCAAACTTTACATGTGGCTCTTGACTCTTGACAAGATCTATATTATGTATCGAGGCCGCACAACTGAAACCCTGAAAAGAGCGTCCCTTTCTTCTCAAGGAGGGGGTCAAAATGTCCAGATTCTCACACATCTGTCCTCCTCATCAATGCTGAAATCCTTGAACCTCAGAATGTCACACTTCGCTTTGGTATTTGGGAACCACCCGAATGGTTGACCTCCATTTTAATGTTGCCTTAATTTGGCTCATGGGCCGAAAAAACAGATTGGGGGTCGAAAACTGGCTCGCCTTTTGGCCCCCCCGTACAATTCGATCCTCAGCGACGGGTAAGCGCCACACGTGGCGAAGTCGCAACCCTCAGCGCGGCTCGCTGCAAGGTGACGGCTTCTGAAATCCAAATAAGGTCTCTTAGCCTCCCAACAACAATGGAACCAGAAAGGGACCCCTTGGAAGACCGGGACCCGCAGATTCCATGTTTGCTTTTGGGAGCGTGACAAATACCCAACATACCCCAACAGACACATGCAAAACCAGCTCGACCCTATTGGTTTTGGGTGTTCATTCTAGGTCACGTCAAAATTTTGGGGTCGGAAGGGCATAGTTTTCACGCTGGCCTGGTCAGCCCAGGGATCCGCGTTGGTGAAGTGCTGGAAGAGGCTGGTGGCCTCCGACCGAGTGCCCGAGATACCAAAATGGGACAAACGATTGCCTTAAACCACAAAAAGAGTCAAAGAGTCGTTGCCTCGCCGGGAAACCACAAGGTTGTTCATCTATGGCCATAGGGAAATCACGGAGAGTCGTTACTTGCGGTTGAACCACGTGTGAACCAAGGGGCCCAACCTTCTGGCAGCCCCACGCCCAGAAGGCCTCTCTGTCGTTCATCAGCTCAAGCTTCACGCAAACCCGCACAAAGTCCTTCTGAGAGATCCTGACGGAACATTCAAGCCACACATGGGTGTTTCTCGCCCGAAATTGGTTTTCTGCCGAAAATGGGTTTTCTGGTGGCCCTGTAGTTGCCCTTGTGTTCTCTGTCTCTTGCCAGACTTCCGGACATCCCGCCTTCCCGTTTGAGGATCCGCGCCGAATTCGTACAGGCCGGCCCTGGACAAGCGACTCCCTCGATCAGCTCGATAAGCGAGGCATGCCCTGGGCGCCCGGCGCCATGGAGCCAAACATGGACACCAGTTTCAGGCGGAACCTAGGCGTCCGCTTGCGGCATGCCATGAGGTCATCGTGTATGTCCCTTGGGTGCACAAGAAAACGCAGTGAGAAAGTGAAGGCTTAGACATATGTAAGACTTCCATAATTCTGGAAGAGCGAGTTCGGAGCTTGCGAAAATAAGCCCAGTCGACTGGCAAAATGAAGCGGCAGTGCCGCAGAACAGAGGGAAACCTCCGGAATGGATTCAGTATGATGCTACATAAAAAGGAATGCGTGAACTAAGCCGCGCTGGCAATGACGCTCTGCTCAGGAGCAAATTGCTTGATGTTTGGAGTTTGATTCAGGCTAGGCAAGGATGCGCTCTCTCTCATGATCTCATTCTCTCTCTCTCTCTCTATCTCTCTCTTTCTCTGCATCAGCCTGAAGCAGACTGCACCTTGAAGCAGACTGCCCTTGTGGAGACTGGCTTTGGGGGGTATGCAACCATGCCTTAAAGTTTCTGGTGCGCTGATTATGTTTAACACTTTGCAATTGGGCGCGTCATTCTTTTTAGCGTACGTTTTTTCGGATTGGGTCAAAGAAGAACCAAAAGCAAAAACCACGAATGTCTAGGGGGTTCCCCAAAACCCAATGCTGGACCCCAAACCGCAGCCAAACGCGCCCTCTGTGCCTCTGATACGTCTGGAACTCGTCCAGGTCATCATTCGAGGTCTCGGCGCTTCGGTTCTTGAATCAAGGTGGTTTCCCTTTGAACACAGAAAGGAAACAATGGATATCTCATATATGTAAACATGTTGAAACAGCAGGTTGGAAACCAACTCTGGTCGCCAAGTTGCCCTTTTGGACACTGGGTTCCACTGACAAATGATTAAAAGAAAGCAGTGGAATCCATCCATCATCGATCAAACTCATCTAAAAGGACACCTATATGGTTGTCCCGTTGGCCAATAGAAGCTCGGCCAGCCAATTACTTCAGTTGATGGCATAGCATGCCGTTTTTCTCACCTTCTCTCGCATCTGATGGCGCTTGCAGCATGCACGCGTGGTTCTCACATTGTCCAAGCGAATCTCAAGCACTTGATTCTCAAAACATCAGGAGCTTATGTCAACGTGCCCACTGGCGCATAACAAGGCCCAACAGCCTGATCGGGCCCGTTTTGGACCGCTCCGTGAGGGATTGGTTGCTTGCCACTTCACAAATGGACAGAAGCATCTCCCTTGTACAAAGAAGTTGACACACGGGTAGAACATTGGCCATAGGAGAAGAAAACGAAAGGGCTCAACGCCGATTTTCTACCCTTGTGATTTGCTCATCAAGGTTTGGAGCAGCCCTGCACCAGCCCCCCCTCCTCCCCCCCCGCCCTAGGCCCCAGGCCTGTCTGCTGGGCGGCGTCTTGGTGCGGAGCTGATTCCGCCCCTGAGCCACGGGGACTCGACCAAGGCCCAAAGCCAGGCGTCCAAACAGTCCACTTCCGCAGCCTCTGCCTCCATGGCCAGCCGATAAACTCGGCTCTTGCCACGTGCGAGTCAACAAAATTTGGCAAACCCGTGCAAAACCGAAGAAGCGTGGAAGATAGATTTAAACATCAAGATGCGTTGTCAATTGGAGAAGCAAGCATGATCTAGATGCTGTCTTTCTCAGCCGACTTTGTCTAGGTGTCCATAATTGAAGCAAGAACACGCACACAATCGCATCACACACGTCAGTGGTTATCTTCAATGAGCCTACCCCCAAAACCCGTGAGCGCGTCAGCTGCAAAGTTTGGATTCACTTTCGGCGATGAACTCTCCTTGAGCCTGACGCTTGAAGCGTCCAGCAAAGCTTCGGCATAGGCAACTCCCTGATGGAAAGCTGAGACTCACGATAGAAGCCACCAAGACTAGCAAGGGTGACATAGGTGACTGGCAAAGGCATTTGAGCCTCTGCCCAATACAGTCAGAGCTCCAAAAACAACGGGCCTGCTTCTGATGGCGGCCCGAGATCTTCGTAGCCGCAAGTCCTTGAGCTTCGCAGTGACGGAAGGCCTTTCAACCCAAATCACAGGGATTTCCACAAACATGCCATTGCTGGAAGGTTTCTTGCGGCGACTAAAGTGCAAGTGGTTTCCGCACACTTTCTGCGATCGCCGCAGGTGTCCGTTAACTCTCCGACTAGGTGAGACCCAGAGACGCCGGCATCCATTGAAGCGTGCCTGGCAAGGACTGTCTGTCAGTCCGAAGACTCGGGGGCTAATTCGCTCTGCCAGCGGCCTCAGCCGGCAACTCACTGGCTTTGCTTTACACTCCCCAGATTAATATGGAACATATGGAACCCAAAAAGCCACGCTGTTTAGCCGTTTTTGGGGTTCCGTGTTTATTTGCAACGGGGTATGGACCAATGGATGTGGGTTGATCGAACTCCTAAGCGGCTTGCACGCGTGCTTGCTGTGCAAAGGAACTGGATTCCCAAAATGGTGGCTTCCCCATGAGTTCCGTTGAAACTCCAGAAAAACACAGACCCATATCCGGCGCAACCCTGGAAACCCATTGATCGCCCAGCCAGGTGATTGCTCCACACCGCCCAGTAGTAGAACACGCAGGCAAGGGGGCCGGAAACAGCTTCCATCAACGTGACATCATAACATTTACCCCCTAAATTGATGGATGTTAAAGGGAATTTCCCCCCGAAAGTCATTTTGAAAACCTTTCGGAAACCCACTGCAGCCAAGTCCACTGAGTCAAATGCACTTCAGCCATCCAGTATGTAGACCAGGAGCACAACAGAGACCTCAAGGTCGATGGCAAGTTGCCATTCAGAATTTGGGTATTGGCTGTGGATCCTCCGAAAAAAAGAACATGGCAACAAACTTGCGAGGGCAAACAATCTTCAGGGCAAACTCTGGTGATTCGAGAACTGTTGCGGCGGTTGCCGTGCTTACTCGCAACAATGTAGTCCTTCAATCATGATGAGAGCAAGCAATTTGAGGCGCACATCGATTCCGTCCGACTCGAATATGTGTTCGGCTCTCAAGCATGCAGGATTTCAGTCGCCAAGTAACCACACGACAAACATTTGCAGAGCAGGTGCGCATTCTCGGCCTGCATACACCTTGTAGCTACTATTCAGAACACTCTCAATCCTGCAAAGCCTCTAGCTCTATTCCCCAAAACTTGCTTGATCCGACTCAAGCGCCCCCTCCCTCAAGACCGAAACACAAACGCAAACCAGAAACGATTGAGAAAGGCAGAGAGGCTGCGACTGCGACAGAAACTAATAAAGGCACAACGCAAAATACACACAGAACCACAACTGAGGCAATAATCAAAACCTAGCACTAAAATGGTCTACCCAGAACCATGAAAAGAATGAACAAGGCGGCTGCACCCATTTATGGTTGGGACCATCCCTTCCTAGCCTTCATCTACCCGGGTCTTGATTGTGGCTCAACTAGACACAGAGATTATGATTAACACCAGCAGAAAACAAAACTGACAAAGGGAGACCCGGACAACGGGGGAACTTAGAGACACAGAACTACAAGCAAAAACACCGGCAAAAGCACCCAAAGAAACACTGACCCACACACACATACATAGAACTGAGAGGGAGAGAGAAAGTGAGGTATATATTATGTGTATTTATATATATATATATATATATATACATACACAAACACACACCAACAGAGGCTTGTACTCGCATGTCATTGGGCTTTCCGGCACTCGCTGCCACTGGTACCTGGGATGCGTAGGCGATTGTTCGTTTTTCGGGCTGTGTCAAAGCTGGGGGACTTGGATGGCTTTGACAAACCCGATCCCATCCAAGTCGAGAGAGAGGGTCAGGCAGGTCAGGCGTTGGATTTGACCAATGCGACATTCAATTCTCAAGATCAGGCAACCGACCGGTGTCACCTACCCAACTGCCGGGATGGGGCGGCAGTACCGGCAATGCCTCCCTTCTCAGGAACTCATCAGTCAGTGTCCTCATCACAGGCTTGAACGCCACATACCCAATTTTGAGGGGGGCCAAGGCTAGATCCATCTATCAAGTCTAGAACCAAGACATGAAAAAGGGAACTCCAAAGCCTCCCACCCCACCCACCCCCCCCCCCCAGGGCCCCTTCCACGTTTGTGGCTGCGCGGATACCTATCTCGCCGGCTTCACTTTGCCTTCGGTTCGGGAGGCTTGCTAGGACGACAAACTGGTAACCGTTTTCAACAGGCAGACACACCTTTGTCGGGTTTATAAAGGGGCCCGAACCCCGGCATTCAGTTACTTGTCTTTGCAAGCGCAGGTTTGCAAGGTGTTCAGCAGAACCACTACAAAGTGGGTCAGTCTGGTGTGCCGGAAACCGGTTACAATGTACGATTTTTGCAAATGGCCATCATCAAATGCGTGTGTGTATATATATATATATATTTATGTATATATATATATGTATATGTATATGTATAAATGTGTTTCATTCGCTTTGAGTATGCACAAGTATCAGTACCCATGCCTGCTTGCTTCCCCAAAAAGTCAGGTAAACTATGGACGCACCAATGCAAGCCAAAGTGCCAGATATCGGCCGAAGCTGCGACGGGGAGGCACCTGGGGATGAGCAAAGTTTTCGCTGGAGCGAGTACGTAGGGGGAGCCTCCTCTTCCCACAAACCCCTCAACTTCTCTGGCCGGACAAACTCATGAAACATGGCGGGATGCGGAGGGTTTCACTGAAATTGGAAACTCCGTTTGGCTCCAACTAACGGGAAACTCAGGAGGAGACCAAGGGTCCCCTTGGGAAACCCGCAAACCCTCATGTTTCTCTGGCAGATCACCTGAGACCATCCAAGACCCAATGGCCAAGTCGCTTCCCAGGAGATTCCCTTTAAGCACCATCCAAAAGGGGAGCAACATTTAGTCAGCAAAGTTCACCAACCTCAAGGCTTGGGAATATCTCATTCCGAATTTGCCGCAACGATTCGAACTTCTGCCAACGATTCGAGCTTGTGTCCGGAGGACAGTTTCAAACAAAAGAATACAAGGCTGAAAACTAGAGGAAAAGCCCTCACCAGCCATCTAGAATCAGACTTTGCCTTTTTCCCCCTCCTCCCGACCTCCTCCTGTCCAGCCGACACCATAGGCTCTCTCGCTGCATCTGCACCTTGAATGATTCGCAAAGCGCCTGGGCCACCTAATTTGTGGAGGGGGAAATGCGAACGCGGGGGGATTGGATCTTGGGATGCTTGGATGGATGGATGGATGGATGGATGGATGGATGGATGGATGGATGGATGGATGGATGGATGGATGAATGCATGCATGCATGGATGGATGGATGGGTGGGTGGGTGGATGCATGGGTCTGTGGATGGATGGATGGGTGGGTGGAGGACCTGCACGCCCTTGCGACATGGTCCCTCCTGAAACCCGTCACCTCTCGGCTCGCGCCAAACGGTGACTCTGGTTGATACTGAACATACTGGCGGACGTCGTTCGACCAATTTGTAAGCCAGCATCCAACCAGCCAACCCACCAACTAATATACACAGCAACATACGCGACGTGAAGGCAGTGTTTCTGGACAACGTTGTGTCAGGCCGCGTCCACTGAGCAACTGCGGGTGAACATGATTGACTGCTCAGTGCCGACATCCCCAGTGTCTAATTAATCCTGTCCGTGCGAGATACATCAGGGATGTGTTTGGCCTATTTGGCAGCCATGACCGTTTTTCTCTCTAAAACCAAGAGAGGGAGAGAGAGAGAGAGAGAGAGAGTGACAGAGAGAGACAAGCAAACAGCAAGCTCAAACGAGCGAGAGAAAGAAAGAGATAGAGAGAGAGAGAGATAAACAAAAGCAACAAGAAGACACATGGACAAATCACCTTCTATAATTCGATAACTGCAAATAACAAATGCTCAAAACTACTTGGGGACGGTCATGGCACCCTAGCAACCCCTACTGTAAGAATCGGTCGAAAAACGTGAAGGATTTATGGCCAGGCCAACAAATCCCCACGAAAGGTGGCAAATGCAGTGACACAAATCATCTTGGGGAAGCCTTCAGCACGTTGAACCAGCAATCTCAATTTCAATGCTGTGATTGATCTTGCGAAAGCCAGACTCCAGTCTCATCAAGTCACCTCATAACATTGCCGTCTCCCAATGTTTTACCTCAAAGTGGCGAGTTCCAACCACCTTGTCTAGATGTGTACACTTGTCCTTCGCGGTTCGCTTTTGGCTTCCTTTCTGTTTCGTTTCACTCATCAGTTTACCGATCAGGTTTCGCTTGTGGCTTCTCGTGTGTTTCATGTTGCGTGATCGCTGACGAGTGGCTGGCAGCGGGGCCCTGCAGCATTGCCCAGGCCCAGGACAGGTCCTTCGGCTCTGCCAAAAAGCCCAACGTGGGCTCGGTGCTAAGCTGGAGATGGGGGGGGGGGGGGCACCCTGCCGTCCACGTTATCATGGAAGCCACCAAACCGTCTCCTTTAGAGGGAAATAGTACTCCACCGCCTGTTACAAACCTCCTCAACATGCAACATATCCCCATGGAACTAGGGACACGTTCTCCTGTGGCATTGATTGTGGCAAC